CTATAAAAAATTATTTCTCTTTAAGAAAGATAAGTTAGCAGTAGTTACTCAGATTCTGGATTCTGAGCATAGAAATTGAATCTGATGCTGGGACGTGGACGTGGTAAGCAGAGGCAGGCAAATCTCTGAGTTTGAGGCCAGCATGATCTACAGAGTGAGTTCCAGCCAGGGCTACACAGAGAAATCTTGTCTTGAAAAACAAAAACAACAACAACAACAAAAATCAACACCATGCCTGATTCTTTCTTCCAATTTTACTGTTCTCTATTCTATAAAGAAGTTTGTTCTGTTAACAACTACTGCTTGCCATTTTGAGTTTTCTAGCTGGAATTATATAGTCCAATAGTCCTAAACAGTTCTGTGTGAGAAAGCGAGAGTAACAAATGGTGGTAACTTGGGGGTTGAGAGTCCAAAAGCCAACTGTAGCCAGCCTCATTGCAGGGCTTAGGGGATGTGACATGGGAAATTTGGGATGTTGTCCTTTTATTCCTGCTTCAGCCTCCCAAGGGCAAGGTATACATCTCCATAGCTAGCCACGTAAAGTTATTAAAGACTGGAGGAGCCAGGCATGGTGGTACCTAAACAGTTCCAGCCCTCAGGATAGCTAGCCACGTAAAGTTATTAAAGACTGGAGGAGCCAGGCATGGTGGCACCTAAACAGTTCCAGCCCTCAGGAAGAAAGAAAGAAAGAAAAAAAGAAAGGAAGGAAGGAAGGAAGGAAGGAAGGTAGACAAAAATAGTTAAAATTAAATAAAAAATCATTTTGCCTATCCTGCTGGGCAACACCCTTCTCCTCCACCTTCTCTTGTACCAGTCCCAGCTACCACACCTCCGGTTCACTCCACTCCTCCGTCTTTCCCACCTCTCTGTCACACATTCGTTTGTCGTAGTGGCATTGGAAACTTCCGTGTGTCACACAGTGTACCCTTTTATCCAAACAGCTTTACTGGCAAATGCTCATTGCAGTGAGTGGTTGGTCAGGTTCAGGCCTCTGACTTTGGCTACACCATCCACACTGGACCCTCTTTGAGATTCCTCAAGGATATCCTGCCCTTGCCTCGGGTCATGGGGATCCTGCCACTATGACTCCACAGGACTGGGTCCTTCATGTGCTGTAGCTATGGATGTTGTTTGGGGCCAACTCAAGACCATGGATCTGGGCCTGGGTAGTAGTTGATCAGGGCAGTCTCCACTAGACCTCTCCTCCCCCTGAGTAGAGGTGTGCGACCAGTTGTCCCTTGTCCATGCCATGAGGGGCGGAGCCATCCAAGTCCCATACTTCGACATCAACATGGCTTCAGGTGGCAGCCCAAACCACGGACCTCTGCATGGCCTCTTTGGTGCTCACAAGAGCCACAGGCATCAACATAGACCCTAGCTGTAGTAGGACCATGGACCCAGATATGACCCTCAGGGGCGGCCTGGCAGACATCACCATGGCCATAGGTGGCAGTACAGGCCACCTAGGCCTGGAGGAGCAGGTGCTTGGGTCTAGTTTCTCTTTCTTAAAGCTTGATCTCTGATTACAGTATTATTTTAGCAACCTTATTGCTAATGTCTTGTGAACAAATGTTTCAAACCACTACTGATTTTTTAACAAATCTCCCATTTAAGCCAGTATCGATTTAAAAACCTGATACAGTTCATGCACACAACGTGGGAGTAGTGTTCAATAAATTATAGGGACACCTTTAAGCTCCAAGAGCTCAAGGAGGTAAAGCATAGTTTGAGAAACAGAATTTCTTTGTGTCCAACAGTTCTCATAGCTGAGTAGCTTCCAGTGGCTTTGTGGCATGCCTTTTTGTAATGAAGACACAACTGTTTTCTGTGTCTGATCATAGATGCTAGCAAACACAAGATTCTCTCTCTCTCTCTCTCTCTCTCTCTCTCTCTCTCTCTCGTTAACATAATGTGTTTGCTGTTTTAACTTCCCCTGCTTGTAGGCCGCATCATTACATTTACTCAACATTTGTCTGTCAGTTTTGCCTGTGCTCTCAAATGAATGCCTCCCAAAGAAAGACGATACTCATCACTCTTACTAGATAGAATGGTACCTGCTGTACAGCATCATAATGAAAGAGTAACTGAGTTGGATAGTGGTGGTGCACGCCTTTAGTCCCAGCACTCTGGAGAGAGAGGCAGGTGGATCTCTGTGAGTTCTAGGCCAGCCTGGTATATAGAGCAAGTTCCAGGACAGGCTCCAAAGCTATAGAGAAACCCTGTCTCAGGGAGAAAAAAAGTAACTGATAGGTTATTGATTGAATGATGTTGTCTTTGCTTGGATCCGATAATGACCCTTGTTAATATTAACTTTTAGGAAAAGAGACCAGGTGGCTTCATGCAAGAAGAGAAATGTATGTGTGATACTCTGAAGAGCTGAGGTGTTATGAGGGTCTATGGGCAGATAGGCATCTTGAGGCTTAGCTTAGTCACTGTTGCAATCGAAAGTAGAGGAACAGAAGATGGCTCAGCCAGTAATTAGAACCCAAGCTTCTACATAAGAAGGTAGATAGAGTGGCACTCACTCAGAATCCCAGAGCTGGGAGGCAGAGAAAGGAGGATCCCTGATGCTTCCTGGTCAGACTGTCTGGCCCAATCTATGAGGTCCAAGTCTCTGAGAGACACTGTCTCCAACAGTAAGGTGGAGAGCAGTTAAGGAAGACACGGAACATACTGACCTTTAGCATGCATGTGCGTGTGTATGTATACACAAACACACACATACAGAGAGAGAGAGAGAGAGAGAGAGAGAGAGAGAGAGAGAGAGAGAGAGAGTTTGGTAGTAAAATTCCACGCTGATTGACAAAATCCAATGGCCACAATGGGTGGATTTTCCAAACTCTGGACTAGTCTTCAATAAGAACATATGCAACATTGAAAGCTGTAAATACAAAGTAAGATCATACTTCCCACCTATATCTAATTATGACAGGAGCTTCCAGGTGGCCCCATAAATCTTCCAATATTCCAAAGATGAGCTTGGATCTCATGTAGAGGTCAAAGGACAATGTGGTGGAGTCAGTTCTCTACTTCTACCATGTGGGTTCTGGGGATAGGATTCAGGTTGTCAGGCCTGGCAGCCAAGTGCCTTTACCTGATATGCCATCTTGCCACCCTCGAAAATTTTTGAAAAAAAAAAAAAACCTCTTAAGTGTAGAAAATGTCACGCATAGTGAAGAGAAAAAGATACCCAGAGATAGGAACTGAAAATGAGAGAGTTCTGAGATTGGGGTGGGGGGGGCATGCATGTGGCAAAACATGATACTGACAGGCCAGGCACAAAGTGCCCCCTCCACCAGCAGCAGCAGCATTACCATAATCATCATTGTTGTTATAATTATTATTACTGGGTGATTGTTTCCACTTTTTTTTTTCGGTTTTTTGCGACAGGGTTTCTCTGTGGCTTTGGAGATGATTCCACTTCTTACGTTGAAAACACACCCTTGAGATGCCCACACCACATCCTTTGTG